TGGATTAATTGATTGATTTGTATTTTACATCTTATCAACCTTTTGTTGATTATTTGAAGCTGAATCATATTTTGGATTGTAAAAATAATTTTTTTTTGCAAGTGAATATTACAATTGTTTGGGAATAACAGCAATTTTTCCAAATAAAACTCCTATTATTTAACCCATAGCTGAGAGGGAGAAGATGGATTCATACCAAGGGCATTTGCCTTTAAGTGTAACAAACCCAATAAGAATTAGAACTTGTCTCTCAAATTTATCATTCTAAGCCACTATCCATTACACCACCCACACATCCACCAAGTGTTTGGAGAGGTCACTATTATAGTTGCATATGAAATTTAAGAACAGTTTGCTACTATAAGTGCTACCAATGAAATGCTTTGTGTACCGAATACCAGGAGATTCTCAGAGTCACCAGGTGAGAATTTTTCTCCGTTTTTGGGACTTGTCTCTTGGCATTCCACCAAGCACTAGCCCCCTTCAATGATGTGAGGCCCCACCACCTGGTTTGATTGGTTTATTGCCTGTCAACTACTTTTGTATTCTTTTGGGGATCATTTTCTAGCCACCTTTCATCAATTCTGAACCAGATCCAACAGCTCACCTTCTCAGTTGCTGCTTGGATGTCCTTTAAGGTTGCATTTATTTTTCTCTGCTCAAGTCCCAGGAATACTATCCCTACAAGCGTGTACCTATGTATCCTCTGAAGCCAACCCAACAGGGAAATATTATTTAGCCTGACACCCTGTGTCTTCACATTCCTCCACCAGTTCTTTGTTTTTATGATATGAAAAAAAAAAAAAAAACCAAAAAAAATGAAAATATTACAAATATTTTTAATGATCTGGATATCTTTTCTTTATAAAATAGTTTTAACATTAAATCACACAGGCCTTAATAATTTTAGAGGCTATATATATATATATAATTATCTCAAAATTTTAGAGGTAAAGAATCAATATAAGTTTTTTTAGACTGATTTTAAAAGATAAGTTCATTTTAAAGTATATATATTTTTGTTTTATTTTAAATAAAAAAACAGCCTAAGTCAGGTAGTTCTACTAGTCTATGCATGTGCATATAACATTATAATAATTATAAAAATATATAATAATAACATAACATTATTATTATTTCTTAATGGTAATATGTAAGCCTTGTAAGAAACGTATGTCCTTTTTAAGATGAACTATTTTTATTTGATACTGATCTGTTAATTCTGTAGACAATAAACCAGGATTCTAATTCACTGTTGTAATAATAACAACAATTAAAAGAATAAAAAGTTAAGATGAAGATATCCTGTGATGAGAGGGTGCAGTGTTAGATTCAATGCTAATAGGAAGGGAAAAACCAAACAGGGAATAAGGCATTAAAAAGTGCATGTGGAAATGTATTTGATAGAAAGAATAATAATAATAATAATAATAATAATAATAATGATTATGGTAAAGATAAGTAAATATACAAGCACCAAGTACAGTTATACATGTACTCACTTGTGAGTTGTTGGACTGAAAAAATGAAAACAATGTTTCAGTGTGGTGTCAGTGAAAGTAGCAACAAATGAGTGTATGAAAGAAAATTATCTTCCCCTGCTTTGAATAGAAACACTTAGCTATTTTTGGAAAGGCAAGAATTAAAAAAATATATATATATAACAAAATATAAACAAAAAAGTAAAAAAAGGTCATAACTTAGAAAGATCAAAAGTCCAGAGAGAAAAGTCTAAAAAAGTTAAAAAGGATATTCATATTCAAAAAAGTATAAAATTTATTCTAAAAACAAAGAAAAAGGTCATTGCTTAGGGATATTTTTTTGGATCTTTTACTGATCAACTGATAATCATTTATTAAATACATAGATATTTTACACAGTTTTATTATCTTTTATATTATTTTTGGTGTTTTTAAGCATTTCTTAAAATTGTTTTTCTTTGTTGAGATGATCAGAATAAAATGCATATTCAATATCTTACTGCTAACCCCATGGCATATTTTGTATTCACACATGCACAGTAAAATCCCCTCTGACTGGTTGGCAAGTTATTGGGTTAGAACAAAATTTTGTAAAGTTTTTTAAAGTAAATTTCAAAGACAATATTTAAATATTTGCCTATAGATTTATTCACTCATTTATATTCTATTTTGTTTTATTACCTTTTGACAAACTTTGAGGCAACTTTATGATTTCATCCTTCTTGATCATAGCATTGTTCTGAGTGACAAAACTAGTCTAAGTAGTTTTCATAGCCTTCCAGAAAATTGAATATTATCAATTTCCAAAAGACATGAAATAAAATCATATGTTCAAACTTCATCTATCGGAAAACACTATGAATTCTTGTTCCAACCCAATACATTAAGACTGTGCAACCAGTTCTCAAGACATTGAAAATGGCTGGATTCTTTCTGGATGGACCTCATATATCTGGTTAATATTTTGTTAGTTTTCAATCATGTGTGAAACCAATCAACCAAGAATTATTTATTTTGCTAAATTTTATTCTGACATCATTTTTATTTGTTTTGATTTAGTGACTTGAAATCAGTCATCCATAATTGCTTTTGTTCATTTTAGCCTCTTTTTCTTTTTGTTTGCTTCAATGAGTTTAAGTAACAACTTATTCAGACAATCTCTATGAATAAGAATAGTCACAGCATTTTGATATGTTTGACGATCATAAATTTTCAGAAAGACATATTTTTTTTTTTTTTTTTTTATAGACAGGCCAGATCGCAACAGGATGACACTTACCTAATTGGTTTATTTACTAGTTTATCTATGGTATTATTTTTAACAACATATTTTGTTAAGGCTTTACTCTTAATAAATTTTCTCATAGGTCATTAAATACACAAATCTATCAACAGTGCAAAGGAGATAACTATTAAAGCAAAAATATTACAGACATTATAGATGAAAAAAACTACATGGGATATTGTGCAGTAAGATTTTTATTGGGGGGCTGAGGACCATAACTTGATTAAAAAAAACAGCAAAAACTATATATATATATATATATATATATATATATATATATATTGATGCATGTTTCATTAAATATAGACAAGTTTTGTCTATTTTATGTAAATTCTTTTCATAGTGTTTGATAAGCTTAATAACATTATCATTAAAAGACAAAAGAAAATCACCATATTGATACATATTTTTTAATCCTATCTAAGCTTAAAATATATATCAATATGGTGTTTTTCTTTCATCTTTCAATGATAATGTTATTAAGTTTATCAGACAACATGAAAAGAATTTACATAAAATAGACAAACTTGTCTATATTATTTAATGAAACATGCATCAATGAAAAAAATGATGCCTAAATACACACAATTTATTTTATATATATATATATATATATATATATATATATATATATATATATATATATATATATATATATAGTACAGGTAATAGATCCGTTGGTATATAATCCAGGTGGATCCTAGTAATATCAGATATTAAAACTGATCCACAGAGAGTTCAATTTATTTATTATAACAGAACATATTTTTATACAGCAAGATATCAAAATTACTTCATGTGGGTATAGTTGTTTCAAACTAGCACTGCTATGTGCCAACTATGTAGCTGGCACATAGCAGTGCTAGTTTGAAATAGACTATACCCACATGAAGTAATTTTGGATATCTTGCTGTATAAAATATATATATAGTGCAATACACTCAGCAATCATAGGCAAGGGTGCCAAATGTGAAAAGAGTTAGAAGGTTAGTCTTGCAGGTTTAATTCTAAAGGGTGGCTAAATATTATGGCAAGTGAGAGACTAAACTTAGTCAATAACTAAAGAAATGCACACACTACGAGCCATGTTACTGTTATATTAAATATGAAAAGGATTCAAATTGTCAGTAAATTTTCAAGCCTTATTTACATTCTGACTATTGTTATCATCTTTGATGATTATCACAATGTTTCAGCTGTTGTGTCTTCTAGCCTTTGTCAGGTGTTTTTGATCTGGGTAACCTTTTGATGTTGTGAAAATAGCAACAAAGATGGGGACATTAATCTGAATGTAAATAATAATTCCTCATCACAGAAATTCAGACAGAATTTTTTTAAGCAATTGGGATTGTTTTTACAATATCAAAATTTCTTAGAATTTTACTTAAATTGGTAAAAAGTGAAGAAACAAAAAATTGAAGACAAAACAAGAATGATTATCACATTAATTATTTAGCAGCAGGTGTTGTTTTGATCATGAAGTTTCAGCTGGCACACTTTTCAGCCAAGTTCACTGACTGAAAAAATATAATTAATATAGCATAGATGAGAATGCTAATCTAATTAAGTTGTGGAATAAGAATAAAACCTTCTTTCAGAATCAAAGACAAGAAATTATTTCTTCATTTGTTGGAATTTGTTAAGAATCTTTGAACTTTTTTCAAATTTGGCTCATAGAAAAACTAGTGATAGATCTAAATTGTTGAATAAATATTTTAGGTTTTAAGTTGAAATAAAACAAATTGAAATGGTTATAAGTAACCATAAGTTCTATGCCAACAAATTCTTCTCTTGCACTTCTCACTCGTGGAACTCTCTTCTGGCTTCTTGCATTCCAGTCAACTTTTCAAAAATTTAATGCAATGTCAATCGTTATTTTCTGTCTTCTTAATTCCTGTTCTTCTATTGTTCTCTCTCATTAGTACTATTTTCTTTTTCTCATATTCTCTCACACTCAGTAACCCCTTGCATCTTAGTGGCTTTATTGCCCTGCTTGGGGTAAAATGAATAAAAGAAATATATATAAGTCCTAGAAAATAGAAGACATTTTTTTTTTGTGAAGGACAAATATGATAAGCCTTTACAATGTAAATTCAAAGTTTAAGGATTTGAATGGGGGAAAATTTGCAAATATTTTCAAAATTTCAATAATCAGATATAAAAGAACCTAACTTACCTTCATCAAAATTCCCAGCAGATAGCTGGTTAAACCAATGAAATGAACCAATACTGTATCACTTGTACCAATTTCCTATTGAATAAGATAGAAACAGATATAATTTCAATAGTAACAACAAATTGAAAAATGTAAATTCATGGACAATACCAGAAATTTTGTATCCAAGTCAAAAGACAACATGGGGAGAGTGTCACATGATATATGATCACAATATTTTGGTAATTTTGCTTACTTGCATCAAGAAGTTAACTGCTCTAGACGCTGAACCCACTCATAAATGGGCTTACAGCTATATCATGTTGAAATACCGGTTCCTGTATGATCGCTGAAGTTAAGCAACATCAAGCCTGGTCAGTACCTAGTTGGGAATACCAGGGGCTGTAAGCTTAGATGTGTGGGTGATATGATGGATAATGGCTTGGAATTGTTAATCAAACAGCCAAGTTCTAATTCTAGCTGGTTTTGTTATATTCACTTATGTACCTTGGGGAAGGTATGAATCCACTTCTCCCACCCAGCTATGGATTAATTAGTAAAACTTGTATCCCTAAATCATTATTATCAATCTGACCCAAATTCTTATAATTTAAAAATATTTTCTGCAAATGGTTGATAAGCTGTAGAAAATGAATAAATCATAAAACCATTCATAAATGGCTAATCTGAGTTTTCAAAATGGTTTTGTTTGGGTGAGAGATTTGCAATGTTAATTTAATTCTCATGAATTGTCATCCTTTGTAAATGACCAGTTAATACTTTCTTTTGTGGCAGAAACTTTTATTTTCTCTTAAACAGTTCAAAATATCCATGTACAGAGATTTACAATGGCTTCTAAAATCAATTACAGGGTAAAGACAATGTTTTATGCAAACTAAAAATTGTTTTCTAACATTAAAAAATAACCCCCCCCCTCCAAAGATATATTTGTAAAGAGGAATTTAAATCAAGTAAAAAAAAAAAAAGTATGTCGTAAAGAAAACAACCAGTGATTTTTTATTTATTTTGTCATTAATTAATTCATTTATTTTTACATTTGATTAACCTTTTGCAGGTTATTTAAAGCCAGAAATATTTTTTTTAGATTGTAAGAAGGTTTGGAAGATAACAATGATTTACTGATGCAAGTCTTACTAATTAACCTGTAGCTGGGGGTAGAAGAGGTGGATTTATACCTTTTTCAAGAATATTTATGTATTAGTGAATATAACAAACCTGACTGGAATTGGAACTCGGGTCAATGATTTCCAATTCCAAGCCATTATTCATTACACCATATGCATATTGAAGCTTACATAACCTGGTATTCTAAATGTTCACCCATCTAGCCACTGACCAGTTACTTAACTTCAGTACAAGAACAAGAACAAGAGAGCAAAGGTTGGGTATGAAATTGTTTTACAATGTCAAATTACTGAAGTAATTAAAAAAAAAATGCAAATATATATATACATATACTTACTTTTCGACACAACCTATCCTTGGGAGATTTACCAACCTACAAATGAGAAAAATGAATGCACATAGTGAGTTTTGTTTTATAATATAAGGCTGGATCAATATGTTGATAACATGACACAATGTTTAACTGAATTCTGATTTGATTTTCATTATATAATGTCCAATCTCTATGATTAATAGAGAAGTGTTGGGTCAAGTGCATTGACAAAAAAGGATATAATGTTGAAAAATGATAAAATATCTGATGTCTAAGATGAATAATTTTTACATTATTTACCTATATAAAAAGTGTAGACATAGAATTCAACACTGTATGGTGACTGGCAGTTTCACACCATAAACAATCATCAGCCCATGTCAGAAGACACATCCAGATAGCCTTATATTCTAAAAATATTTTCAGTTAAATCCTTATTTGAAAGTAATTTTTCAAATTGTTTAGTTTAATCAGACATTTGTTCAGTGTCATGTAAAAAATAAACAAACTTGCTTTGAAAAGCTGTCAAAATGAATAGAGTTGTAATTTATTCCAGTTCCCCACTGAACTTTTAAAAATATAATAAACATTTAGACATCACCTCTGCATTGGCTGGGGTGAAATTAGAAGAAATGTAGCTTCTCAGGCTAATGTTTTCTGTTGATATGAAGTGGCAAGATTATACTGAATCAATTGCAAGGTCTACTGTTAGGAAAGTTGGTTCACTGTGTTGTGCTAGCCAATATTTCTCTACCTTACATATTTATAAGTCTACCATTCATCCCTTTGAATATTACTGTCAAATCTGGCCTGGTGCTTCTGCTATGTATTTACAGATCCTTGATAAAATACAAAGAACTTGCAATGTTATTGGTTCTGACCTTGCATCTCAGCTTCAATCACTTTCCCACTGCTATAATAAAGCTTCCCTGTGTCTTTTCTATAAATACGTTTATGGTAATTGTTCTGATGAACTCTCCTCTAGGGTATTTAGACTTTATGAATTTAAGCGCAGTACTAGATTGGTAACAAGATCTCATCAATTCACAGATGAAATGGCTAGATGTAACCATAAATTCAATGCCAATAGTTTCTTCTCTGACATGTCTTGCCTGTGGAACTCTTTCAGCTTTTTGCTTCCCAGTCAACTTTGATCTTCAAAAATTTAAATGCAATGTCAATCATTATCTTCTTTTGTCTTCATTCCTGTTCTTCTATTGTTCTCTCTCCTTAATATCTTTTTTTATTTTGTCACACTCAGTAATCCCTTGGATGTTAGTTGCTTTATTGCATTGCCTGGGGTGAAATTAGAAGAAACAGACTTTGATTCTTCTTCCTCATGATCCTTCCCATGGGTTTTCAGATAACTTGGTAACACAATCTCCTCTTGAAGCTCTTAATCGACAACCAAAGACTATGGCATATGGTGTGGGTTGCTCATGGGCAATACACTGGGCCCTTAGGTTTTGAATTCAGAATTGTCCTTCTAGACCAGTTGCCACCCAAGCCTATAGGACCCAGTCTCATCTGCTGTTTACTCATGGCTGGGAGGAGAAGAGATAGATTCATACCTATCTCAAGGATATTAGCACATAAGTGAATATAATGAACTCAACAGGAATTCAGTTCTCAGGTTCCTCAAGCCAAACTGCTACCCATTACTCCACTGTGTCTCCATTTTGAGAGTGCATTAGAGATTGGTGTTTTGCCCACTTGTGGGAAAATGCCATGAAACACACATCCACATACATACGAACATTCACACACAAACACAAATTTTAATGTCTATGTCCATTGTAAATTTTGTTGTTCAATACATATACTTGTTTGTATCTATATATCGGTCTTGTTTGTTTTCTTTACCCTTCTTTATGGTGGACTCAATTTCCGAGTCTGAAATGAGTATGAGACTGCATAGCCACAGGTGAGCCATAGTACACATGCTAATCAATATCTGTTACTGAAAGCAACTTCAATGAACATATATCAGAACTAAGCCGTGTTTCAGTCAATGGAGGTTAATTGGTTTGATGAGTCACATTTTCTTCTGATTAAAGTAGATGGCAAGGTACATGTGTGTTGTTATTCCAGAAAAGTAATGGCACAAGGATGAATTATGGAAAGTTGGAGGACACTGAGTTTTCTCATTTCATGTGGAAGGATACTTTGTCATGTAACACTGACCTCAACATCCTTGAATATGAGATAGACCACTTTATGGCAACAGTCTAATATGATAGCAGTCACATCTTTCAGTAGGACAATGTACTTTGTCATACTGTATATGTTGTATAAGAATAATTTCAGGAAGATGGGGAAGACTTTAGTGTTGCCTTGACCAGCAAACTCGCCAGATTGTGATCCCACCGAGCATTTAAAAGATACATTGGACTAATAAGTTTGCATGCCAGAATCTTCCCCATATAATTTGCAGCAGTTAAAGGACCTGCTGCTAATATTCTGACACCAGATCCCATCTTTAGAGCTGATGTCTGATTGGCTAAGAGCAGTGTTAGTTTCCATCCTGCAACACCTTTCCCATACTGTGAGACAATTTTTATTATCAGAATCCATCTTGCACATTTATAAATCTACCATTTGTTTGTACATTGAATATTTTTGCCATTCTGGTCCAGTGCTCCTAATATATAAAGATTCTTGACAAAATTCAAAGAAGAGTTTGTAATGTAATCGATCCTGACCTGGCATCTCGACTCCAGTCACTTTCTCACTGACATGACATGGCTACCCTCTGTCTTTTCTACAAATATTTTCATGGAGATTGTTCTGATGATCTTTCTTCCTTGGTGCCTTGACTGCATGAATTTAAATGTGTTACTAGATTGGCAACTAGGTCTCCCTGTTTTACTAGGTAGATGTATTTGGATGTTTTGATTTAGAAATAGCAAAAAATGAAAAAAAAAAAAAGGTACAGAAAAAGGATGGTCATAATGTTTTGGCTCATCAGTGTGCATATGTACAGATATATTTCTTTACCTTCTCCATGAGATAAGCAGCAGCTGACAAGCGTTTCACAATAAACATCTGCCACAGCATACTTCCAAGACCTAAAAAATAATGTCAACATTTACATGATTGATTGATTTGTTATTTTACTGGCACATCAACCACTATGGGTTATTAACCAACATTTACATTATGCATATAATAGCCCTCTTCTGTCAGTAACACTTGCATTAATTCATGACCACTGACACTCCCTTTCTGATTTTCAATGAATTTTTATATTAAAATCAGGAGCAATGTATTTACATTATACACAAAAATGTCCCATTTTGTCAGTAACATTTACATTAGTTCCTGACCATTGACAATTCCTTTCTTGATTTTCAACATAAAACATACAGATTGAGTGTTAAAACTAAAATAAATTTTAAGTAAAAAAAATATTTACTTTGTCAAAATTGACCAAAACTAAAACGTTATCAAGATAAACTAAAGTCTGCCAACAGGAATATGAAACTGAAATCTTGATATATAAAGAGTTTAAATGTAATTGGTACTAAAATAGAGCCATAATTTTTGTTAACCCCCACCTCCTCATGTGCTACCAGATGTGCATGTAAGTAAATGTGATTGGTGCGTGAAGTTCAAATTCTACCGAAGGCCATTGCATTCGCTTTTGCACAAATACTCTTGGAAAGGTATGAATCATCTCTTCTCTCCCAAGCTAGGCATATTAATAACAGGGCAGATGAGGCTCTTTAGCTTTGGTTATCAGTCAGTCTAGGAGAAGGAGAACTCTGAATTCAAAACTGCCTAGGCATGGAGCTAACATCACCTTGTAAAACCTGCCTGCTACAGAAACCACAGCAGCAACAGCTAGCATAGTGAGGCTCTGACCCTATACCTCACAGAGGCATCTACAAGATGAACATACATACATTGGTGTGTCACTAAATCATTAGAGCAAATCAAAGTTTTTATGTATTTGTGTACGAAAATGATTTCACTAATTACATAATCTGTTAAACAATAAAAGCAGTAATTACAAGAATATTCTTGTGTTGTGCTTTAATTTTTAAAATAAAATTATGTGATTTCAATCAGTTTAACCATTATTTGGAAAAAAAAGAATTACTCATATTTGTCCAAAGATGAATGCTGCAGAACAATGGTTAGCAAGATGGTCAAGTAAGCTACTAATAATGATATTGATCCTCATAATGTACCAGATAAAAATAACCTTAGTAAGTATTTATATAGGTGTTAACTGTGGGTAAGTGGTTAGCAAATTAGTTTTATATACTATGACTAGTGAATTTACTCCTCACTGGTGCACCATTTTATGAGATTAAACTAAGCACAAACCTTAGAGTGATGCAAGCTAATCTTTTTGAATATGATCCAATTTTTATGGTCTTATACTAAACTGAACTAAGCACAAACCATAATCGTGAAGACCATAATCATGCAGGTAATTATTCTTGAAGATGATCCTCACTTGGTGCCCCATTTTTATGGTCTTGTATCAGACTAAACTAAGTATAAACCCTTCAAGTGATATTCAAGAGTAATAGCCTGTATGACTATCTCAAGCATCACTAAGGGTTTATACTTAGTTTAGTCTGAAACAAGACCATAAAAATGGGGCACCAAGTGAGGATTATCTTCAAGAGTAATAGCCTGCATGACTATGGTCTTCACTGGGTGCCCCATTTTTATGGTATTGGACTAAGCTAAGCAGAAGCCTTTTGAGTGATAAGATAATCATGCTTAACAAATACCTACAAGAAATTATCTATGATGCAATGGACATAAATGGAATAACATTGGCAGCAGATATTCATTTGAATTTACTGAAATTTGATTTATGAAACAAACTATTACCCCCAAAGATTAGTAGGCAAACTAGAAAAAGACTGTATTCATTTAAATAACCTATAATGTCAGGAAATATGTTATATAATGAGATCGACAAAAGAATTAACAAGTTCACAGTTCAAAAGGAACTATCAAGGATCTTTTACATGATAAATAGACTTTGTCTGTCTCTCTCACATTCTAAACAGAATGACAAATTGAAATTTTTCACCTGTATATTTACAACTTTAGTTATATTAGAAATGTTTTAAAAATATTATCAAGTATCAATAGATTTTGAATGCGTTATGAGTTAAATAGATAAAATTTATAGGAAGTTAAAATGTCAAAAGGAATTTCTTTTTTAACACAAACAGATACAAGAAATTTAACAGCTTTACAATAGCAAAGAAAATAGTTAAGTCATTGTTAAACAAAGTCTTTTCCCAAAATCAAAATATAAACAAAAATATGTTAGAGACTAACCTTGACGTAGCACCGCATTCTGTATAGCATTGAGGTAATCTAAAGAACTCTGCAAATATTGGTATTGCTAAAAGAACAAAAAACATCATGTGGTTAATATAAAATACTTTATTGATAGATATACACATATATTCAAGTATTAAAAATGAATAAGATAGCTCACATTGAAAAAGGTTAATTGTACAATGACTTATAAATTCATTGTAGTGAGTCTCAATAAAAATAAAATATTTAAAGAAAAATAAAAAAATTAAAATAAGGCATTTGTGCTTTCCTTTAAAACCCTTTTCTCTTTCTTTCTTTCTATATTTCTCACAACTAACAAGAAGGCAACCGTCAAATAAAAAGAAGAAAAAGAAAAGACTAAACCCAGCTGAAAAATGCTGGAAGTTTGCAGGATCAGAGTCGACTTATTTGTGACTGAAAAATACCAAAAATCAAGGAGGCTCTATGCATTCTGTTATTAAAAAGAAAAAAAGAGAAGAATGTCGGAAAATAAATATTTTTGGCCAATCAAAAAAATTGACACAAAGAGACTTTTGAAAGAAAAGAGCCAAAACCAATGTTCATACCAGAATCTTGAAGACTGACACTTCTGAGCTAGAAGCAGAAAAGATGGCGAGAGTGACGAACAGAGATGCTACCATGGCAAGACCAGCCATGCGTAATGAGTGAAGAAGTAGTTAAGAGGTCATCTACTAATGATATTCCTGTTCTGCTTAGAGCCGAGAAAAACACAGTAGATTGACATTGACCTATTTCTAATATTACTACTATCCCTGTCATTATCTGACTTCAAACTACCACTAATTGACATTTTTCCAGAATGCTACCAATATCTGCCTTATTAACAAACTTTTTGCTACATTGAATACCAAAAGACTCAAACATCACTCTAAAGAAAATAAAAAAAAAAAAAAATTATTTATTTTATACCCTTGAGTCAGTTTGCTTAATTCCAAAGTTTCCAGTAAAGAAAATCCTACTTACCCTATAACATCAACAAATCTGATCAAATCTCACTTTTTATTTATTTGAATCTAACATCTACAAATTTTTACAAGTATTTTCCATATTATTTCTGTTGCTTTTCATCACACATTGTCATTCCAAGATAATTAGTATGCAATTTAAATTAGCAGCTTAATTGATAATGATTCACCAAAGAAATTGAAATACAATTATAAGTGGAATCTGTTGGTTTCAAGAGACCATGGAACTGCTTATAGGTATTTTTTTTTTAATTCAGCTGACAGTGGTAGCATATTGTCTGTTTTACCAATCAAGCACAAGTGAGTTGATGCTGGGTGCAGGTCTGGGCAGGATTTTCTTTTTTTTTTTATATTTATAGATAATGAGAATTATCAATTCAGCACATCTACTCCATGCTACTAACATCATCCAAGAGACAGGCAAAAGCTGATGCTGTTTGGCACTGGTGTCATTATAGAGTTGTCATGACAATGGATGCAACATCAAACTGCATTTAGGATTCTAGCTTCAAATTTTATTTTCATGGCTTACTCCTGAAGCCTTTTCCAAGTTTGGGTATGACCACAAAGCAGTGGAAGGTTGAAATTTGAGTTTTCCTTCTCTTATATGATGGACTGTCCTTCCAGGCTAAGGAGTTCTATCTACTCAATTTAAACAGTATCTCTCCCACTGCATATGTACACATTTTTAGTATCTCTGTTAAAAAGCAATAGTTCCTTAATTTTTTAAAGAAAACATTTCAATACTTTTTGTTTGTGACTTGATATTTGTATTGTTCAGTATTTTCTCTTGTGTTCTGACTGGGTAATTCTGCTACTAAGATATTTTAAAGAATATTTCTGTTTTGAAATCTTTTTACTAATGAAAAATATAAATGACAAACCTCAAGGTCTTTATTCCACAGAACAATGTATTCCCAGCAACAGTTTGCCAATAAAACATCATTGTCAAGGCTATGAGGAAACTTGCCTTGTAGTACATCCAACTGGCCTGCAATAACAGATAATTATACAAATTAACTAGGTTTGGTATAAAGCCTTCATAGAGGTGGGTAAGGAGGATTGGGTTGTGCTAATCAGCCAACAGAGGAGGATTTGTATATATATATATATATATATATATATATATATATATAATATATAGAAAATTGAAATAACAAAAGGATATATATAGAAAATATATATATATATATATATATATATATATATATATATAAGCACATTTGTAATTATTTTTAAATGAATCTTGATCACCTCTAAGTATTATTTACATTATTTACATGTGGACTGTTGTCCTTATCCTTCTTGTTATCACAATGTTTCAACAGTTGTAACTTCTGGCCATCATTAGGTGTATGCCAATCTGGGTAACCTATGGGGAATTCCAAAATGAACCCTTTATTTAATCTACAGGCTAGTCTGTTCTTCTTCCACTGCCCATGTCTAGGGATATAATATCTAGTTCTTATTCTTAGTACTGTTCAGTTATTGCTTGCTCTGTTTCCAATGAGTCTAAGTACACACTGCTCAGTCCAGGGATTAAACTCACAATCACGGTGTCACTAAATTCACAAACCAATACTTTAATCCACTAGACTACTGTCCTGTGGGACAATTCTCTGTGGAGAACTTTGAGCCTCAAACTAACCTGCCTGCTGATGAGTGCTAATGCTGCTTGTCATGTTAGGTTTAAAGCACCAAGTTCTCTGTAGTGAACTTTCCCACAGGACAATAGCCTAGTGGATTAAAGTGTCGGTTTGTGAATTTGGTAGCATAGTAATATAGCAGTGTGTATTTGGACTCAGTGGTAACAGGGCGAATAATAACTGAGTAGTACTAAGAATAAGAACAGATTATCTCCGTAGATTGAATAAAGGTTTCAGTTTGGAATTCCCTGCAAGTTACCTGGATTGACATACAACTGATGAAGGCAGGAAGGCATAATGACCAAAGCATTCTGGTAACAACAACAAAGATGAAGATAATAGTCAGATCAGACTAGAATTGAGTATTGATGCCATATCTACAGGGGAGCTGCACAGAGTTCAAAATCATCTATGTGGCCTTGTGGGTGATGAATTATTTTCAACTCTATAACCCCTTTCCCACACATGAAACAATGCAAACCTCTCACTCTACTCTATCACCACCACACGTTCTGATGTGTGCTACATTCCTTAGTTCCACCAGTTCAGACTTTACAGCTAAGACCCACCACGCCACGTACACTAGCAGGAATCATCCGCATTCACTATACATTCCATTGGCAAGAAGGAAGTTCCATTTGGACAGCTTCTTCCCAAGAACTTTGTGGAACAGACTCCCAAGAGGATGCTTCCCTGACCACTACAATCTCAAGTTCTTCAAGTCTCAGATTAACTATCTACTTTCAACAACCTCATTCAGTAAGCCCCTATCTTGAGTGGCTCTTAGGTCTTGTATTGAGTGAACAACAGCAATAAAAAAAACAATGCTGTTCAATATTTTGTCATGAAAAATTAACTTTGATTAGGCTATGATTGATGTCTGCCAATAGAAAACTCTGCAATGAAAAATATACCAAAAATAAGAGTTTTTATAGAAATACAGTATTTAATGAATAGTTAACTGGAGTCTGAAAAATATTGTTTAACCCATTGACAGCCAACCATGAGATAACTTTTGGTTGGTAGTTTTTATTATGGTGCCAACAAAGAGTTTATTCACAGCCATACTTTTAGTGTGAAAACAATGTTAAGTTTTCAGCTGAAACTATAAATCAACTCATAAAAATTTTTTATTGCCTAAATTGGCTATTATAAAGTTGGTGTTTAAAGTCAGATTTCATAATTGATCTCTGACAGTCAATGTGTTAAAATATAGTGAAAAATAGATTTGTTTTTGCATATCAAGTCAGAATATTGAGTGTGCTTTCTTTAACCATATTTTAGGAAAGCCAAATTCAATTAAGAAGCATCTGACCAGATGAAGTATATATGAATAAACATGACAAGACTTGATACTATCCACAAAGTCAAAAGTATATTCCCAATTTTAAAAACACTGTCATATGATAGAGGCAATGCTTGAGTTCCGTCCATGAAAACTGGCAGAACAGAGAGATCAAAGTGATAACTTTACACATTACCTAAAAATCTTTCCTCAAATTTAACATGTAATTGTTCAGCTGGTTCTTCCCCAATCTCGATAGCATCAGTGGACAGTTTTCCTCGGGGATAATTAAGGGCTTCATGGGAAAATTTGGCTCTGCTTACATATTTTGCCACAACTTCTGGAATAGAGCCTGGAAATAGAAAAGAAGTCAAACAAGAAATTATACGAAAAATGAAGGCTTCTAAGCAGAGTGTATTAATTTAGAAAATTGAATTATTTACATAGTAAATACAATACATATAATAGTTAACATTATATATATATATATATATAATAATTAATAATAATTATTTAATTTTATACATATAATAACTAATATTTAATTTATACACATAATATTATAAATATATTAATATTTAATAGCCTCATTCTGTCAACAGTGGTTATATTAATTTCTGACCTCTGACATTCCATTTTTTTTTTTGATTTTCAATGCATTTAATCTCATAGCATCATTAGTGATGCATTCACATGTAACCTATTCATGCAAGGTGGATAGATTGATTCATTTTTTATGATTTATCAATCTGTTGCAGCTTATTCAAAGCCAGAAAATATTTTTAGATTTAAGAATTTTTTAAGATAATAATGATTTTAGTGATACAAGTCTTACTAATTAACCTATAGCTGGGGGGGATTCATAACTTTCCCAAAGATATTTGTACACAAGTGAATATAATGAACCCAAGTGGAATTGAAACTCGGCTCTGTGATTAACAATTCCAAGCCATTATCCATTACACTACTTGTGCATCAAAGCGTACAGTATGTAGTTGAAATCAAATGTTATGTCTAAAACCATTCGAGACTAAGCTGTTTTTATAAAGATTTACTCATTGGATTGGTGTGGTCTCTCAGACAGAATAATTTCAGAGAAACGGGTTTTCAGTAAAAGAAAAATAAATCACTAATAAAGCCAATGGAGTGTGTGGCTGTTTAGATAAAAATATTAACTGGTGGTCTTATAGAAGTCAGTTATCAAAAATTCACTCATGCAGCTAACTGACCATGTGCTTTCCAGAACAAAGCAGACCCTGAGAGAATCTAAATTAATGGCCAGATCATAACACTACATCATTGGTAACAAACAACTTGGCTGGGTTCCCATATAAACAGTATTATCATTTTACCATTTTTATCTTGCCTACAGGTTCTGTAAAAAAACCAAATGAAGACTAAGTACCTCTTCCTCCATCAAGTAAATGTCGAACAGACACCATTAATAGGTCAGATGAGGGTGTAGCAGAAACAGCAGCATTCTTTGCGGGAGGGATCTTCAACTTCAGGAGGCAATTCAGAGCCAAGACATCTTCCAGTTGACGAATGAGAACATTCCACTTTTCAATGTCCACACTGACATCCTCCCACTCTGATATACTGTTGTCAAGCTTATCTGCAGTACTTGTATCAGCGTCAGGGTCCTGAAATACCAAAATGGAAACATTGAAAAGCATAACAATAAAGGAAAAATGCCTCATCATGAACTGTAAACTAGTTTCACCAACCACTGCTCCTAAATTTTGATTTTCACAATGGTGACCTTGTGTCAGAATTAGCTGAGTAATTAATTTTACCATGGCATAATAATTAACAAGCTGGTTTCATAGACCACAAATACTGAATAAAGTCTGATCCTCATTAAGCAATGTCTCACACTATTGTGTCAAACTAAGCTTAGTAAATATCATTGAACATTTCATTATGGAGTAATGGTTAACAAGCTAGTCCTTTAGATGCTTATTGCTGAAGTGAGTTCAGTTTTTACTGGATGCTTCTCACCTGTGACCTTGCTAAGTCATAGAACACCCACTATAGAATGATAGTTGTGTGGTATTATACAAACTCCAGCCCCCCCCCAGCTAACTAGGATTCTATAAGCCAACAGTAACAAGTTATTGCCTTTGTTTAGATGTGTAATAAAAGCAGGATATTTTTAGTGATCAAATAAGCCATGGTGAACAGTCTGAGGGAAGAATATTGCTTGATATCTGACCATGTACAATAGATATGTGTTCCCAAATGTGACAAAACCAGGTGAAGAGGAACACTTTTGTCAGTTTTGATGTAATATTCTTGTTAAGAGACCAGGCTGCATTTCTTCTTTGGTTTGGTTACAAAACTGAAAACACCCACTAACTATATAAAACAAAGCAAAACAGAGTCACTGTTATTTAACATTTTTTTTCATTAATCGTTCACCCAAAACAAGGTCCAAGAGCCAATCAAGGTAGAGGTTTACTGAATGAAGCTGTTGTATGAACACAAGAGGAGGAGGCAAGAAGTGGAGACCCTGATATATAGGAAAGGTAATGGTTGACTCCAGGCTTGAAGAGGTTAATATTGTAGTGATTGTGGAAGCTGTTCCACAAAGTAGCAATTCTTGGAAAGAAGCTGTCCAAGTGTAATTTCTTTCTTACTAATGAAATACAAAGAAAGTGGGGATAATTCATTTCAGTTTATGCGGCATAGTGGAGTAATGGATACCGGCTTGGATTGAGGAATTGGAGAGCCGAGTTTGAATTTCAGTTGAACCCATTACATTCACTTACGTGCTAATAATCTTGGGAAAGGTATGAAGCCTCTTCTTCTCCCTCCAACTACGGGTAAATAGCAGGACAGACTGGGTTCTATAGCCTTGGACAGCAACTGGTCTAACACAGAAAGAAATGGCGATGTACTGTGGGAAAAATCTGCTTCATTGAAAGATACATGATTGCCTAAGTGTGTATCACGCATGGCACATAACTGACTTCATGTGGCATGACAAGTCTTAGCTATGAATGCCAGAATTGGTGGAAGTAAAAAAATGTAAGCAACATTTACCTCATAGTGGTGAATGAGAAGAGAAAGTAAACCATCAACGTGACAGTGGTCCAATAAATGAATTGTACGATTGATGAGATGTAAAGGGCTGCACAGTAGCAGGCTATCCTTGCTAGTTCAGTTAATTTCCTTGACAAGACAACCCTTGCCCATCTCTGCTGAACAGGGACACTGAGTGATGGGAGTTGGTACATATAATACTGTTAGACAGCAGACAAGATGTGTCACACCAGTAATGTCTCATTTGGCAAAATTTTCTTGTGGACCAATTTTATTGAATAGTGAATATGATCTTCATGAGTACTCTACTACTGTGGCCTTTTACCAGACTAATCTATTGTTAGTAAATAACTATAAGAAATTAAACAGTTAAATGGCAAACATAATTGCAAATCACTTATTTTAATTCTGTTTGAGTTACTAATAAAAAAAAAAAATAAAAAAAAAAAAAAAGAGACAGTAAGAATCAATGGAATGCAAAGATATTGCATTACCTTGGCTTTGTTTTTGTTGATCATCATTTCCATGGCAACACCTCGGGCAGTCAATGCTAAAATGTAGGCGGCTTTGGCGCATGTTGACTGGGCACAAGCTTCACGTACCTTTTCCCACCAGGGAGAGACTGAATCAACACTTGTTATAACATCACTGGTGTCTGTCAAATAATAATTTTTAAAAATGGCTTAACATCTTCAAATATACATTGGCATAAACATAGAAAAAAAGATTTCAAATTGATAGCATAACATCTTTTATGAATTATTTTGACTTTGTATCCACATTTCTGCTATGCTTCAAAAATTCAGTTGAAGAAGGCTGTAGAACACATCAGCTGAAATATTGTTGAATGAAGTACAGATGAGGATACCAGTTTGATTAATTCATGAAATAATTCATCTTAAAACTTTAATCTTCAACATGTTTTTTTTTTTTTTTTTTTTTTTAAGTGTTAAGTCTCATTAGAACATTGCTGATCATAACTTGCCACAGCTTTCTTTTTGTTAACTGGGAATTGACATGATTTCTTGGGAAAGATAGGAGAATTTCCATTCCTCCTCCCTGATTTTGTCTTCTTCCTATACTGACTGCCAGTCATTGCTAGAGCTCAGTTTACACTGCTATTTAACCCATTAGAAGAAGAAAAGATGGATTCATGCCTTTCCAAAGATCATTAGTGCAAACATGGACCTGACAGATTGTCAGATTTTAAAATCATTGCACCAATGCTATCTTTCTGGATCTGTAGCCATTACACTGATCACACATCCCTTTCTCCATAATGCTTAAGATAAAAATAAAAATTGTTCATTTTTTTTTTAACAGAAAATATTTCCATAAGTAAAAACTAATTAAAAAGAAAGATTGTCTCAAAAAATTCAGCAAAACATTCAATAAGGAATATTCATATTATTTACATGTGGACTATTGTCCATATCTTTGTTGTTGTTATTACAATGTTCCAGTCATTGAGCCCCCTGGCCTTCATCAGATGTATGTTGATCCAGGTAACATACAGGGAATTTCTAACTGAACACTTTATTTAATCTACAGAGGTAGAATGTTCTCATTCCACTGCCCTTATCTAGGGATATCTTGTCTAGTTTCTTTTTTTTAGTATTGCTCAGCTATTGCTCACCTTGTTTCCACTGAGTCCAAGAACACACTGCCTGGCTCAAGGATTGAAATCACAATTACTATGTCACCAAATTCATGAACCACTGCTTTAATCCACTAGGCTATTGTCCTGTGAGTTTAATCCCTGGACTGGGCAGTGTGTACTTAAACCCAGTAGAAGCAGAGTGAGCAATAACTGGGCAGGACTAAAATAAGAACTAGATGAAATATCTCTAATGGGCAGTGGAATGAGAACAATCTACCTCCGTAGATTAAATAAAGTGTTCAGTTTGAAATTCCTTGTATATTACCTGAATTAACATACACCTGATGAAGGCTGGAGTTGAACAATGGCCGAAAAACACTGTGGTGACAACAACAACAAAGGTGACATACAATAGTTGTATTGGCAACAAGGTCTCACCAATTTACAGTTGAACTGGTTAGATGTAACCGTAAATTCTATGCTAACAGTTTCTTTTCTCGCTTGTGGAACTCCCTACTGGTTCCATATTTTCCAGCCAACTTTAATCTGCGAAAATTTAAATGTAATATCAATCACTATCCTCTTGATTACTCTTCTTTTATTCTTGCTCCTTGGCAATGTTTATGTTTCTAACTCTCCCACACCCAATAGCCCCTTGTGTCTCAGTGGCTTTACTGCTTTGCTTGGGGTGAACTTGATCAAAAATAAAATAATGATAAATCCCCATCCCAGAAAAACAATCAGAAATTATTGGGATAAGGGATAATTGATAAAAATAAATGAATATGTATTATTGTCAAAACTTGGAACAAAGATAAAAAAAAACAGTTTTTTTCATTTACTTTAACCCATTTGTTGCTGATGCTGAACTTGATATGGTATGAAAATAAAGGGTGTTCCAATAACTTGGACCAATTTTAAATGTGAATTAAGTTTAAGTGTCTAATGATTTTTTCTTTTTCTTTCAGATTTAACGACTTAAGTCTTTGGCAATTTCAACCATGGAAAGATTAACAATCAAACAACATGTTATTTTCTTGGTCAACATAATCGACCAACCGGGAGTGCAATTGGAAATGATAAAATGTTGTTCAATTCCTGCGCGCAATGATGAATAGAGGTGTCTGGATTTTTGACCACATTCTCGTGCACTGCAGCTATGTTTTCAGCTGAACAGTGTAAATGAGCATGCAATGGTGTTTTCACATCTGCCACCAACCCAGTTTGTTTGAATTTACGAAAAATTTTTCCATTTGCACTCTTGAAACTTTAACACATTGTTTGATTGTTAATCTTTCCATGGTTGAAATTGCCAAAGACTTAAGTTGTTAAATCTGAAAGAAAAAAAAAAATTATTAGACGCTTAAACTTAATTCACATTTAAAATTGGTCCAAGCTACTAGAACACTCTATATTATAATATAATGTATTAGGCTTGATTCCTGAAGCTGATTAATACTATGTCCAATTTGTTGGGCATCATGCACAAATGGATTAAAAAGATCTTTTAAAAGAATTTAAAATAGAGCACTCTTATATATGTAAGAAAAGGAATATATAAATAATATATATATATCAAAACATGAGCAAACATTTAAAAAAGAAAAAAAAAAGTATTCATTTACATTAAAAGGTGTAAGTTCCAAGGAAAGCTAATTTATTTTGACTTACCAGTCATAGCTGTAATAACAGTGATTACATGATGGAGATTGGGAACTTGAGTTTCAATACTTCTGTTATCATTTGACAGCCAATAGTGTTGTAACAGGTCCTGTAAAGAGAGGAAAAGAAAAATTAAGGCATTTATTCATTTATGATGTGATCTCATGTCTAACGTTATACCAGAAAGGTTGAATATATTTTATTTTCATGTATAATTTAATCTCTATGTTATATGCAAGATAAGAAATGACCATTTTTGGGTTTGTGTAACACATTGTCTTATATCATTAAGATGATTTTAGAATCCAATGTAAATGCTGGAGTTGAATACCACTGGTTGCTTAAAGGAAAGCAAAGATAAGGTTATAGAAAAGAAATGGCCATTCAGGAAAAGGGAACGTAAAATTTTCAGTTTTTGTGCAAGCAAATGAGAAGCAAAACATGATATAGGGTAATTTGACTAGTCAGTAAAAAAGCTGAGAGAGAGTTCCTGCATTGTATGTTTACAAAATGACACAAACTTTGAGGTTATACATACTTAGAAAAGCTGCTTCAAAAAATTATTACATGAACATTGTATAGACAATGTAAATCATGAAAGTGAATGCTGAAACATTTTTAAATTTCCATAAGTATTAGTCTCATTCCACAATGAAACATCTTTTATTCTTTAATAAGTTCTTTGATATTTGTAAAATCAGTCTATGCTAAAATAGCACAAGAAAATATAATTATTTATTATGCAAAGACTTTTTAACATATTTATAACTCTTACCATGAGATGTTCAGGAGAAAGGGTACTATCTTGTAATACAAGACTTAGGTCTTCAGGTCCAACTTTACCAGATAAACATTGGTCATAGAATAGATAACCTAAAAGAAAACAAGGAATACAGGAATTATATATATATATATATATGATAATAAAATTACAACACATTGCATATATATGTGGTTCTACAGAAGAAGGCTGAGAATACCATGGATGGAGCATGTGAGCAATGAGGAAGTTTTAAGGAAAATGGAAACAAGAAGAACACTTATATTTAGAATCAGAAAATAACAGTTAAAATTTCCAGTATACATAATGAAGAAAGAGGACTTGAAGAATTTGTCATGGACAGGACATATTGAAGGCAAGGGGGTCAGAGGGCAACAGTAAATAACCTACCTAACAAGTTTATGTAAATGGATTTTGGGTGGGATGGTAACGGTCAAACATTGCTTAGAGCCATAAAGGACAGTAAACTGTGAAGAGCCATGATCGTCTATGTTCTGAAGGGTTATGGCTTATAAAAGAAAAATGATTACATGTCACTTTTTCTCAAAATATATATATATATATATATATATATATATATACATATATACACACACACACAGACATTGATTTTGTAAACAAAGTTGTCGTTTTTTTGGCTCTATACAAATCTGTGGACTGCAAAGAAACAATCAGAAGTGATTTTAAATGAGAGACAATGTACTTACTCAGAGCAGATTTTTTGTCATCAGTAATTTTCTTGATTTGTGAGACAACAGGCATGTTGGTTGAGGGTGCCTCACTTGTTGCATCAAGGGATGAATTTGGACTATCGGATTGGTTCTCATGCAAGTGAATCGGACACTCGAAGCAACTGAGGAAACTTGTTATGGTCATTTGTTGCTCATTAAATGTAACAAATCGATGCTCGGACAGCGGCATACAGTCATCACCGGAACGAAAAGCATGCAACTGTCTGAGGATGTGTTCAGTTTCAGATTTGGTGCATGACAATAGACTCATTAAACACTGAAAAATATAAATAAAACAAAAATTAATGCTTTTTTACTCACTACCTTAACATTAACAGGAAATTTACAGACATAACATACAAATTTCTGTTTGAATTCCTGGCATAAGGAGCTATCATTATTTACATGTAAACTATTGTTCTCATCTTTGCTGATGTTTTCACGTTTTGGATATTGTGCTCCGCAACTTTCATCAGGTGTATGTTGATTTAGGTAACATATAGTGAATTTTGAACTGTTTAATCTATGAGGATAGAGTGTTCTCATTCCACTGCCCACGTCTAAGGATATTTTGTCTAGTTCTTATTTAGTACTGCTAATGGGACAAGCAATAATCAAGCAGTATTAATTAAGAATGAGACGAGATAACCCTAGACATGGGCAGAAAATTAAATAATGATAGTTTACATTTTTAAGGCTGAAAAATATTTATGAAAGTCCTCCTGTTTTATAAGATTCTACCTTAAATAAAAAATCAGGTGGCTTGCTATTAGAAGCATATTTCTCTTGATGAGTCAGAGGGTTTTCTTTTAGAGACCTATTTTTCCTAATGAGCCAGAGGGCTTTCTATTAAAACCTCATTTCCCTTGAGCCAGAAGTCTTTCTGCGAGAAGTCTATTTTCCTTAACGAGTGTTGTGCAGAAAGACTCACTAACCTTCTCTCCACTTATTATTGAAACATGGACTCATCCATTTGCTATGAGTAGAATATCCACTCATGGAACAAGGGCAAAATGTGGGTTGTGAAAGCATAGGGCTTTCCAGTTGTACACATGTTGCCCTGAACTACTGTATTCTCAAATCCATGTTCTCATGTGATTAAATCCTTATTCACTCAAGCCTTTATTCCAGTGTTTCCTTACAATTTTACTAACCAGTAACTCTAAGCATTACGAGAACTTAGTGGGTATGAGTTAGAGTTCTATTACAAGCCTATTTCCCTTGACTGGCCAGAGAGCTTTCTATTAAAATCTTACTTCCTTTGATGAGTCAGAAGGACTTCTATCCAAAGGCTATTTCCCAGGATGAATCAGAGGGCTATCTATCAGACGTATATTTCTCCTGATGAGTCTGGGGGCTTTCAATTAGAAGCCTGAACCTACATTTTGGGAGCTTCAAGGACTTCCACTAGCTACATCTATCTTTGCTAGCTAAAGAAAGATTTTCTAATCGGTGAGACCGTTTTAAATTTCTTACAATTTATACATGACTTGGTGCAAGCAGTAGGTTAGAAACTGCCTTTTTTATATATATATATATATATATATATATACACAAAAAAATTATTTTAGAGTTATGAATATTAATATATTTTGTATATTAAGCAAAAAGGGAGACTACTTGTTCTACTTAAAGAAGAAGCAAACCATAATTTACATTGAAAATTAATCTGGATCAACTTATTTAAGCAGATATTTATTTCATGCCTACATGGAACCATCTATTCATTTCTCTTGCTTAATAAGCTAGGGTTATATAGATATAATTTCATCATTATTACAAATTTCTAAGTATTGTATAATTTGTAATATACAAACTTATCAATTATCTATTTGTTTATTTTTAAATTGATTAATTTTAGATTTTGGGGCAAATATCAAATCATATATATATATATATATATATATATATATATATATATATATATATATATATATATATATATACATATATATATATATATATAATTACGTTGATTTAGTGGACTAAATAAAGGATTTGTTTTGAAATTCCAACATATATCACCTGAAGATGGCTGATGCATATAATCGCTGAAACCTTGTGAATATGACAATAAAGATAAGGACAACAGTCCAGACAATGTAAATAGTTACAATACCCGATCTCTGAAATATATATATGTCAGAAAATAAATAATTTTGAACTTTTATTTATCTATTAACTATTATTGCTATTAAGAGGAGGCATGTTTGCTTAGATGCATTGAGTAATCACTCTTGTTACCATAACAATGCAATATTTCATTATGAAAAAGAGGAGATTAACCATGACAAGAACAATTCACAAAGTAGTGAATAAGCATGTATGGATAAATTCAAATACTAACCTGTTCTAAAAATTCTATTTCTTTGGGCGGCTGGCATGTACAATTGATTTTATCCAATAGACTGTAAGTCCGCAAAAGCTGATCCTGCGATTGGCAGAATTGCAGGAACAGGCGGCTGTCAATATCTAATGTTTCTTCGGCTGGAAGTAAACAAAAGTGAAAGAAAACATATGGCAAAGATAGCCAAAACCTCTAATACTGTTTATGTAATAATATATACCAGTAGTACCTTTTTATTTTTAATCATTACACCCCAAGAAAGGCAGTAGAGCCACTAAGATGCAAAGGGTTACTCAGTGTTAGAAAATATGAGGAAAAAAAGCAGGAATTAAGAAGACAATGATTGATATTGCATTTAAATTTTTGAAGATCAAAGTTGACAGGGAAGCAAGAAGCTGGAAGAGAGTTCCACAAGCAAGAAGTGCGAAGGAAGAAACTATTGACATAGAACTTATGGTAGCATCTAGCTATTCCAGCTGTAAAATGATGAGATATTGACCACCAATCTAGTATTGTGCTGAAATTCATAAAGACCAGGTACCATAGGGGAGAGTTCATCAGAACAATTACCACAAAAGTATTTATAGAAAGGCACAGGGAAGCTTTATTATAGCAGTGGGAAAGGGGCTGAAGCTGAGATGCCAGGCCAGAACCAATAACATTGCAGATTCTTCTCTGGATTTTATCAAGAATCTCTAAATATATAAAGCAGGAACATCAGGCTGAATGTGGCAGCAATAGTAGATTATGACTATGTAAGATAGATTCTATAGAGATAAATTATCTTGCACAACACAATGAACCAACTTTCCTAGCAGCAGACTTAGCAATTGATTCAGTATAATCTTTCCACTTCATGTCAGTGAAAATTGTTAGTACCTGTGAAAATTTCATGGTCTTGCTATTTGAATTTTCAGATGAATCATAATTCTCAAGCAAATGACTGAATAAGCTCCTTGCAAGTTCCACAACTAAAAAAATAACTGGAAATTATCCTATTGCTTTGTTAAATATTTGAGCTTAACAACTTTAACAAAATATTGCAATAACAATCGCAAGTATGACTGCAGGTCATTATTTAAAGAAATAAGAGTGTACAAATGAAAAGATTTGAAACTGACAAAGTTTTCCATTTCACTGAAACAGATATTACACATTATTACCACCATCTTCTCCCTTTTTCTTTCTTTGTCATATTGATATCATTGCTTTATAAAAACCTATATACTAGCCTAAAGAATAATCTGGCTCTGCTCCTAAGTTTTATATACAAAGTTGAGTTAACATTTTCTCAGACACTGGGGACTACCAGTACTTATACTCAGCCTAACTCTCTAACACTGTAATACTAGATGTAAATAAGGAGTTTTTATATGGAAAGTTGGATTTCAGCCAAATCATGTCGAAAGCTAGTTCCTATATGATCACTGAAGTTAAGTAACATTGAGCCTGGTCAGTACTTAGATGGGTGACTGCTTGGAAATACCAAGTGCTGTAACCTTTGGTATGCAAATAGTGTAATGGATAATAGTTTGAAATTGTTAATCAGAGAGCCGAGTTCCAATTCCAGTTGTGTTGTAGCATACCTACGGACGATAATGGGTATATCCACATTCACATAAATACAATAGTAAATAGTGTATGTTGGTCTACAGTTGGAGATTCATTGTGGAATTTACTTGACTCATTTCTAGCCATTTACTACTTCTACACACCACTGGTGAATTTTATATGTGTTGTTCTTGTCCTAAGTATTATCATTCATTACCAAACTTCATTTGACTATTCTATTCAGCAACCTTCCTTAGGTTACAACAAGTTGGGTGGGGTTGTTATATTCACTTATGCACAAATACCCTTGGGAAAGGTATAAATCCATCTCCTCTCCCACCAGCTATAGATTAATTAGTAAGACATGTATTAGTAAAACCATTATTATCTAAAGAAAAAAAAAGTTTCATACAAAACATTTATATTTCACCATTAAATAACACAGAGGTTGATTTTTTTTTTAGATGTGTCCTATTTCAGAGTCATTTTGAGACTATCTGTACTAAACATGAGGACGTAATATCTTATTCATTCTAAGGCCGGTCATCATTGACATAAGTCTTCCCAGTGTGCAAGGGACAGGTATCATATTTAAGCCATATAATTATATAATAATGATCAAAGAAAATATTATTTGAGCAGTTGTAGTATTATTCATTCATATAAAAAAAAATATAATGAATCTAATAAAAGATGCATCATTTTTTTTTATTTTACATTGATTTTGCATAAATACATATCCATGAAAATGGGTTTTTGGTATTCCTAGGTGTGGCTCCCACACAGTCACCTAATCATGGTGTTTTCATATGTATTTTGGTTCACTGTTTTGCTGTTCGTTATATTGCATTTATTAGTTGTACAGCAATGACTTTTAACATGAGTAATAAAAAAAATGTAACCATAATAAATATTAACTAAAATGAAAATGTTAAAAAAAAAAAAAAAAAGAAAAAAAAGAAGAGTCATATATCCCACCAGTCTCCTGTGGCGTGGAATGTATGACTATTGTTTTTTTGTTTCCTAGAAACTCTCTGCGTACTGGCAGATGATGGCTTGCATACCAATGCCACACTGAGTTCCACTGCTGTAGACTACCAGTATTTGTCCTTAGTTTAACTCCATAATTTTGTAATATACATGAATCCCTCATTTAGTGTGGTTAATGAGTACATCAATAACTATAAAGAAATCAATTTTCAATTACTATGGTTTTACCGCACTAATCGAGTATTGTGTACGCACTAATTGAATTTTAGAATATAAAAATTTTAGTGCGCTAATTGAATGTGCATTAATCGAGGGATGCCTGCAAAATATAAAGGAGTCTTATCTGCTATGACAAAAGGTAATCTTTTAAATACATCTTTTTTCATTGACTTATTCAATTTAATTGCCTTTTATTATCATTAACAAACACACATTGTGTATTGGTAATTCCTCATCAAGAAAATCAAAGGTCAAATTATCAAATATCACCATGATAACCAAATGTTAAAATTATCTGACATTGGATTTAAAAGGATTCAAAAATACATTGATGTCCTTTAGGATGGTGGCATATTTGATATAGGCTACTCAAGTATCAAGTGCTACTGTCACCTATTGGTTGGGTGTTGAATGCCTGGGTCATGTAGTGAAATTGATACACTGATTCAGCTAGAATTAACAAGAATCTATGGTAAACGGCCAGGGTGGAGTGTTAGCCCGATAGAATGAACAGCCATGTGTCCATGACTAAGCCTTCAAGTTGAAGGGTATTGGCCAAGATTTGACCTAAAGAGGGATGGGTTCCACCAGGTCTACTTGCCCAAGACATGCTATGCATGAACAAATACCTTTCCAGTTTTCAACCCAGATATGTAGAGGAAACTGGTCAGTTTCTGTGTTGCACAGTGAACTTATAACCACACCCAGTCATGGGATTCATGAAAAAAAAAAAAAAAAAAAAGCGTCAACTCTAGTAAATGTAATAATAAACAAAAGTGAGTTTGAATATGTCCCGAGTTAAAGATTCTATATTTATTCTGATTGATATCTTAAAGATCTTCAGTCTAATCATGTCTATCTGTAAATGGCTACTCCTTCATAAACCAATAAATAAAATTTCTCACCTTTTCCACTGAGTTGTTTTATGCAGGATTTAATGATGAACCGCATCACATTAGTGGACAGATATTTAGTATTCAGTACACGTTCAACTCCCTGTGAAAATAAGAGAGAGGATATTTTATTGTAAATAAGGCATACAGGAATGCACATACATGAATAAATATAAGAGTTTAATATTTAATTTATATGAAGAAAATATAATATTCTAAGTTATTTGTTTTATATACAGATATTGCATACCAGAATGCTTCCTCATTGATGTCTATTCTGGGGTCATAGAATGTTTTGGGCTTCCATGGACCCAGTTGAGAGTAACCATTTTTTGACTAGCATTCTGACATAGCTTCTGCATAATTGCAAGAATTTTAAACGATATCTGTACCTTTGCAAATGAGATCCTTCTTTTCAGTCCTATGTAAGAATTCTGACCAATTGGGATTTGTTTCATTTTTTTTTTTACTGAAGAAATCAAATTCACTAGAATAAGGGTAAACACATAAAGTTGGATGAGAATCTGATGGAATGGTAAATATATAAGGCAATTTAGAAAACTTTTACTTTGATATATTTCACCAATGATTTGGCATTATCAGAAATAGAATTTTATTTTTGTCTTGTTGACACGATTTATTTCACATTTCTTGTGAATAAAATTCTTTATCTGATGACACAGTTTATTGGTGAAACATGTCAAAGTAGAAACATTCCAAATTGTTTTATATATTTACAACACACAACTGATCCCCAAAACATAAGGTTCAGATAGGCATGCATTAAGATTAAAATTAAAACATTCTTAAAGCTGTAAGCACAAATCAACAAGAGATATTCAATACTTCTTGAGAACAGCCTTAATATTGATTTGGTTTGGTTTGTTTTACAGCATATCAACCTCAATGGGTTATTTAATGCCGACAAAATTTTTATTGCTGGTAATATTTTGTTTTGTCAAAAATCTATTTCTGGTAATATTTTTCCTTTAAAAATGTATTGATGGTAATAATTTTTTTCAAAAAAGTATTGCTGGTAATATTTTTCCACAAAAATGTATAGCTGGTAAAATTTATTTTTCAAAAATCGTTGGTAATATTTTTTTTACAAAGTATTTCTGGTATTAAAACCTGTTTTTACAATTTCATAGTGTTTTTACTCCAGTTTCGGGGTTAACTATTTGCCCATAGCTGGGACCCTAACAGGTGCTACCACCCTGGGTCAGGGCGGACCTGGGAACACCAGCAATTAAGAGGTGGTTCCACACTTCTCAAAACCTCCTGATCAGAGGCCTTGCTCCTTGACATAGTCTTACCCAGGACGTGGATGTGGTTTGTCATCATACCCAGGACAGAGCCTCAATATTGAGTAAATGCATATAAGACATTGCAGCAATTGTGACTGCTATCATAAGACAGTAGACAAATGTAAAGGGGCAATATGGGAATTAAACTTTTGCATGCAAAGAGAAAAAATCCAATGCTGGGTCACAAAGCAATTAACAGAAGAACGCAAGTTCATGTACAAGGGCATTGTTTTTTCATTCTTTTGAGATGGCATAGAGAAGCTGATTAGAACTTTCTGGAGGACATGATCACAGATGATGAGATCCAGCTGCATCACTTTATCCTAGAGACAAAGGCAGATTCCATGACCTGGAATCATTTATCATTACCAAAGCCGCTTTGGTAATGATGGATAATTCTAGATCAAGAAAGCATCAACACCACTGCCAAATTAACACATTGACTGCCAGCCATGAGTTATCTTGTAGTTGGCAGTTTTTTTTATCATGACTAAGAATTATCTTGTGCCAACTATGCTTGGTATTTTCTGATATACTTTCATCTGCAGGTGCAATCAATGAGTTTATTCACAGTGATACTTTTACTATGAAAACAATGTTAAGATTTCAGTTGAAGCTATAAATCAATTCATAAAAAAAATTTATTGTCTAAGTTGGCTATTGGCATTTGAAGTCAGATTTCATAATTGGCCTTTGGCAGTCAATTTGTTAAACAAACAGTGAAGAAATTGATGGCAACTGTGTTCTGGAATGTAAAAGATGCAGTGCTCATAGACTTAATGTTTCATAGTCAAACAGTTAACACAGCCAGATACTGCCAAATACTGGACAGACTGAGGAAAATTGGTAACTAAAAGAAAACAGGAAGTTTGAGTAAGGGTGTCATCCTGATGCATGATGATGTTACACTACACTGAACCAACCTGAGAAATGTGTTGCTCCAGGGATATGGTTGGTATGTTTTACCAAACGCACTTTATCATCCTGACTTGGCTCTTTCAGACTATCATCTATTTAGAGACTTTAAAATGATATTTAGTCAGGAAGCACTTCCACATGCAGAGGTGTAAGGGTAAATGCATTTGCTTTAGATCATATTTTACAAGGAGTAAAATGTGCAATAATGGAATAACAACATTACACTGGTAAATAAGTAGAAAGGCAGAAGATTATTTATTCAAAGAAAATAAACAAAAAATGAAAGAAGCTATATTGCTAGATTTGAATGACTGCTTCCAATTGGCTTTTGCAGTCTGATCAATAAGGCAGTTACTCTAGCAAGTGAAAATCTTGAAATTAGGAGATGCTAAGTCCTGCTGGAGACTTATTTTTATTTACAACTCATGTCAGTTACTAATGATCATGGAGTGATGATCTGGAAGTTGAGATAAAAAGTAAATGAATCTAAAATGAAAGAATTTGGAGTTAAAAATTATTACCATAACTTTCTTTAAATAATAAAAGCAATGAACATACCTGTTGGGCAATACTTGCTATTTTCATATCCAGTAAGATATCTTTCACAGTACTTTTTACAGTTTCTTGAGAAAAGAAAAAAAAGAAAAGGAAATTTATAAAAAAAGAATTGTAAAATATAAAAATCAAATAAAAATAAATGCTACTTCTGTCCTATAATAGTTATAATATCTATATATACATTTCTCATACAAAATGTAACAACTATTTTGGGACAGAAGTAGTATTAAATGAAACAAAATATATGCAATGATTGAAGCCAAGCTGAAAAATTTGCCCAAAGGTCAAATTTTAATTTAGACTTATAGCTTTTACCAATTTTTGAGCATTTAGTTTTTAAAGCTCGCCTGAAAAAAAATGTACAGAAATACCTAATTTCTGCAATTTTTTGCTTACAAATTAACTTCAAAATTTTATTATTTTAAGAATAAATCCAAATAAAGTTGTATTAGATACGTTGAATGCAAAATACATCCAAACCAGAATTCTAATTATGAATCACCACATGCAAAATATGCTTATATAATAAATGCCAATGTCAGTGTGTCACACTTTTTCAATTAAAGGGACACAACTCTCTTTCAATAGCTTATGTTACAGAAAGTTTGGATTAACAAGTTCTCATTACTGCAATTGTTTTGGCAATTTTTTTACGTGATTTTTAGCAACAAATTTTTTTGTACAATAAATTTTATAATTGGAAATAATTTTAGGAATAATTGAAATTAATTGCAAAATCCATCAAAAGTCACCCATGAAATAAAAATAATTATTTGTATGGAAAGTAACGACCTATGTACATCAATTTGTCTTTAAATTAAGTGGCAGCAGAAGAATTATCTTTGAACTTTTTGAAAGTTCAAAGATAATTCTTAAGCCTAAATATTAATGCAATACTTAAATGCAGTGACCAATTTTGAGTTCTTCTGGGGTTTATTGTTACCTATTGCATATGGCAGCAGCATGCCTCGCAAAAAGAAGTTACTGCCAACAGAGGACCAGATTGCAATCAAAAGAGCCAAGGCTGCAGCGAGGAAAAGAAAGTCCTGTGCAAATGAGAACCCAGATCAAACAGTAACTAGGAAAGCTTCCAATACTGAGAATAGGCAAAGACTTAGGGACTCTCAAACTCCTGAACAAACTGAAGGGCCAATAAAGAGGCCTCCACAGGAGCTAGCTTAAATGCCACCTGACAAGATGGCTTTTAAGCTACTAATTAATAAAAACAAAAAATAGATAAAAGTGTATATAACAACATAATACTGCTGGGCATAAATAATAAGACAAAATGTTTTAAATTTGCAATGTTTATTGAAAATCACACTAAAACTATTGCACTGTATAAAATATTACATCATAATGTAACTAAATTGTTCAGTATAATTTCCCTTTGAAGTAAATGAAGGCTTTATTTGTTGTCACAATGATTTAGTAATAATGTGCTTGTGCCATACATCTTGTTCATATACAATTTGTAAAACTTCAGTAAATTATAAATTTTATAAGTCTTTGCTATAAGTCTTTCAGTGATCACCAGAATGAAATTTCAACACTACGATTCTGAACCTAAATTAAATCTTTAAACTAGTTTCAAAAAAAAAAAAATAATTTTGAAAAAATATTTGGTGTCGTTATTCATCATGTCAAACCCCAACTTTCAAATTGAGTGCAATATCATGATTCCAAAATCGATCTGCCCTAATGCCCAATGACATTTAAATCTGGCAAGTGCAGGGGTCAATGGAATTCCTGAAATTTAGTCAAGGGTTTTTGGAATTAATTTCGTCTCAGCCATGCATGATAGGAACAAGATGTATTATCTTGTTAGAACAAACTATTACCATTGAGGAAACATGGTGAACATAACAGGATAAGAATTGCTTGCATGTGTTGCACAACTCAAGAAAGACTTTAGTTTCTCTGCAAATAGTTTACAGACATGCATATCTCCTCTCTCTCTTTCTAATTCAACCATCTACTTGAAAAGTTGTTTTCAAGATTGACTTGTCTGACCAGGTCACAGTCTTTCATGATCAAATAGCAATGTTCCTTGGCCCAAGTGAGGTAGTGACATTGGTAATATTAGCTGTTTCCTTATAAGGAAACATTCATTGACCAAATAGCTTGTACTATTTTCAGTTGAAATTTATAAAATCTTTCTTAAAACAATTTTTCAGAAAATAGGTTTCTCAAGTACTGTATCTGTTATCACTCTTTCCAGTAGTAATGGAGGTTTCCTTCCTAAAATTTTATTTGAATTAGTGTGAAATGTTAATATCTTGATAATGTCATTATTTTTTCTTTGAGTGACATGTGCTGTCCATTTTAGTTGTTGATCCTATTGATAGTCCTGAAGTGATATAGTTTCTGTTATCTGGTAGAGTTCTTTTTTGGTGATTCTGCAACCTCAGTCCACAATGTTCGAAGAAGGATAGTCTTCACCATATATCTACAAATGTCATGTCAATAATGGTAACCTTTATTGGTTGATACCTACAAAATCCTGTGGAATAATGAATGATGGATTTGAGTGGCCATGTTGTTGAATTAAGGTGTAATGTTCTCTTTCAATGAGTGGTTAGCATACTTGTCAGTTGTTAACAGTCCATTTCTCCATCACCTGTGGCTGCCTACAGTTCATGAGGAAAGAAGGCTTGGAAAATTTGATACTCACAGGACAGATTGAGGGCAAGACGGACAAAGGAAAACAGCACATAATATACTTGAAGAACTTAAGTAAATGGAAGGCAGAGAAGGTTTAGGAGAAATAACGGCAAGACAAAATTTATTAAGAGCTACAAAGGACAGGAAATTGTGGAGAGCCATGATCACTTATGTCCTGAGAGGACACAGCACATTAAGAAAAATGTCTGTCTAGAATTCTTATAATCTTTACATTCTTATGCTGCTGTTATCTGAAGAGTTTTTGCCAGCTTGGAGATCTTTCTGGCCCCAACAATCATTCTGCAGTAAAACCTATCTGCTTCCCACTAATACTACTATTTATTATTATTTATTTATTACATATGTCATCAGGTTGAGTCTGTTTCTTCAAATGTTGGCAAGCAAAGCTATAAATTACATTACAGTATCTAATATTTTGAAATTTCAGTTTATTTTTCCCCAACTCTAGAAAAACATTATGTTTAAACCATTAATATCCACTGTCACATTTTTGTGATGATAGGCATTAATGAGTTATAGGTATATCAGTAGAAGTCAATACTTATATATATATATATATATATATATATATATATATATATATATTTCCAAAAGGATGAAATCCAGATCCAGGTAGAACTATGTATAAGACAGAGCAAGAATATAATTTTCCAATGTAATAAATTATAACCATGAATTATTAGTGTTTTAGCATTTTATGTATATATATATATATATATAAAAAATAAAAAAAGTTAATGGTCAGAGTTGAATTAGACCAGGAAACAGTAGTATTAAAAAAGTGCTCAATGCACATATAAAAAGATAAAAACTTAACATGTAGATCTTTTAAGTATAGAAAATCAGTAAAAGAAAAGTAAATAATAATGGAATTATTTGTCTTGTTTCAATTAATTTGCACAAGGGTGTATGGCAAATATTTAGAAAAGTCATAAAAAAATACGTTCAAATATAAAAAAATGAAATTAATTGTTAAAAGCACGCCAATCCTTATTAGGAATGACTATAAACTAGGTATGTTCATGAGATCCATAAAAAAATAGCATAGCATGAATAAAGAAAGACCTTAAACTTGATGAAAATAATTTTTTATCATCTAAATATTTAAGTTATTATCAAGAGGAAAGATCAAAGTATTTTTTGATTATTTTTTAATAATTTCTAGCACATCCAAAATCTTTGTTAAAAATCTTGTATTTTTTTAATCAGCAAAATTGACAGAAAATCGATCGTCAGCTATTTTTTTAACTCTTGTTTACAAAAGTGAAAGTCCCCATTTAAAATTCTTTTAAAAAATCAATTATGATTTTTAAAAAATGAATTTAAGAAAATTAAAAATTATAAAGTTTATTTAATATATTTTGAAACAAACATTACTTACTTTCTGCTCTGAAAAAATGTACTTTAAAAATGCGAGAAAGCCGGTCTTAAGAGCAGTGTTCATTGACAAGTGACGTGCATGATGTCATCATGCACTGTCATCTTACATGAGGAAAAGTTATAGTATGGGAGGTCACAATTGACAGTTTAACTTTATGTGAACAATTTATTTACCTCATTATTTTTACCTACTTTTCAAAATTTTCTGCTGCTACTTGGTCGTATATAGGATGATATATATTTCAATTTGTTTTTGTTAAGTAAAACTTCTCCACATGTGTTTTGCCAATTGTAAAGGCCATTAACAGTGCTGAACAATATTTATATACAAAATCAAGTCACATGATGTTTTTATTGTATCATGTTTCTTCCGGGTTTCCGTACATTTGAATTATAACTGTTTTTATTGACACAAAGGCAAGGAACAGTAAGATTTTTCTAATTGGTGGTTCATGGATTGTAAAAAGCTTGTGCAATTTATAATCTGTACAGATACATGTACTTAAAAAAACATTAAGTAAAGGATTTGACATTTTCACTAACTTTACAATATTTAACAACTTTAATGTAAAAAATAATAAAATAATTTAAGAAATAACAATTCTTTTAAAAATTAATTTTTCATCTAAAAAGTTTTTTGCCTTCAGACAATATTATGCATATTCATAAAAGCAACTAAAAGCATTTAAAATTAAATAATATCTTTGTTTTATTGAGCTACAATTCAGAGCTAATTTTAGGTAGATGAGGTCAGATTTTTAAAAAAACAAAACATGATTTACTTTCCTCAAAGCCTTGTGTTTTAAACTAATATAATGACTTGCATGCTTCAACATTGAATTTCTAGAGTTTTCATTAAATTATTTATGGGGGAGGTAATATATATTTTTATCATGACTTTAAAAAAAATAACATATTTATAATAATTTCCATCATTCCTGAATAGCTTCTGAAAGTTTCATTAAAATCTAACAATTATTTCTATTTTTGCAAGATTTTC